TATGACTAGGTGGCAGGACTTTACGCGGTCGTAGTTTTATCACCGATTAGTTCTGTCCATTGACTAATTATAAGTTAGTCATCATTCCATGGACAGAATTGATCGATGGAACAATAATTAAAATATGGCAATCATGTCAAATTTTTAGATTTGACCACTATGCTCTTGTCAGAAAATTCTAAACTATCCCTCTAACTCGCTTTTCATTTGTTATTCAATTGCTTTCCAATTTCATTAAATTTTTGACAAAATTGTAAAGAAATTCTGTAGTATCCGCGTGGTAGAGGAGATACAAACATATGTCGAAGGCTACGATTCTTACTATTAGAAGAGATAGGCTGCTGCTTTATGTCAAAAGAAACGATGATCAGCAAAATAAAATAAAATTAAATTAAATTAAATACCGTAGTCCAATCAGTTGCCAACGAAAATAATTTTAGTAATATAATTAAAAATTATTTTTAAAAATAATGATATAGTATAAATAATTATATACATGAAATGTATATTAATATTAAAACACGGATAGAGCTTTTTGTGACATATACACAGATGCATAATATAAAATGCATAATTTACACAGATGCATAATTTAAAATTTTAAATACTAATTTCTTGTATCAGAATCTAGTGGCGTAGACAAGATATATTTCTACTTCGTGCTGAAGATATACAATTGACAACACTGTAAAAGATATTATTTTCTTGAACCAAATTGTATCATTTTATTTGACGTAGTTCTCCAATTCACCGTTGTTCAAGCGTAGAGGACGCTAAAAAACCAGTGATTTTTTTCCTGGTCGGTATTTCCTAGTCGGTATTTCAGACGCTGGGACACGAAACTCTATTTAATGTCCGGTCTATGTAAGTTAGTCAATGGTATAACAAAAAATGCATTGCATATTAAATCTATTCTCTGCTTTGTCTGTAGTCATTTGAGGATTTAATATTGGACTGATTTGTCAATAATAAATTAATTTTTTTCATTCGTGTGTACGTTTCATACGTATATTTGTATAAAATATTTTTATAGGAAATGATAATTAACTATGAAAACATTTAAATATTTTTTTATTAACAATTTTACATTCTTTCTAATAGTTGCATTACGATCTGTACCTCGCATTTATTTTATACGAAGCTGTCATGTAGAGGAAATAGTAATAAATTTTATTCCACGTTTGTCATGTCAAATTTTATGCTATTTGTTATTTTTTGCTATTATGTCAGATTTATGTATAATAGTTGCTGTATGTACACACATATACACATTTTATGTTACTATATTTATTATATATAGAAATATTTAGTTGTAAATACTTTTAATAATGTCAATTTAAATCAATATTTGGAAAATATTGATTTCATCATATATTAAACCAATATAATAAAAAGATACAATATCTTGCATAATAAAAAGAAACGAAGGGAGATTTGAAATTAAAATTCACTACATTATTTGGTTTACACTTCATCCTCATGAGAACCACCAAATACCTTCCCAAAATTTACAACAAACTCATTCATATATGAATCAACCAAAAAATTCTCATCTGAATTAATTTATTTTAAATTCTCAAATTCACTTTATTACCATATAGTAATTTACCATTTTTCGTAACTTTATTACCAAATTTCGTATTCACAAAAGACATATTGTTCACTTTCATCTTCATTATCTTTTCTTATCATAACATTTTTAAGCTGCGATTGTATGCTATCCCAATAAACGCTAATACCAAAGAGAATATTTTATAACCAATAATCGATTACACATTTAAAACCACTAATGATGACTATGACGTCTCAACTGATTTGTTATTTTATATCTTAGTAATCACAGTGTATATATTAGTAACAGTAATACATAAATAATATAATAATATTATAAATGTACTATGATAAGAAAATTGATAATTGATCATCAATATTATTTTTCTTCATACGAATGTTTTTGTTTTTATTTGAAACACAATCTCTTTGGCATTAACGTTATATATTCTTGAACTTCATTGAACATTGATGATGCATCTCTTCAATGTTTCAGAGTCAAATAAATCTTTATTGAGATATAAAGGTATAGATGAATTTCATCTAAGCCATAGCTTCAACCGAAGAGCATCTACACCGTTCAAATAATACCGAAACAATCGTTTATCACGCACAAAACCAAGATTCTCGTACAAACGTAGAGCTGGACGATTAGTAATTTCTGTTTCTAAAACTACTTCACCAGCATTATCTTCCACCATAGCTTGAATTGCTCTTCTTACTAGATTGGAACCAATTTTTTGTTTTCGATATTTCACATCAACAGCTAGCATTGCAATATATCCACGCTTTATGACTTTTCTGTGGATGTCCAGCTTACAAACAATGGCACCAACACACTCATCACCATGCATTGCCTTGATGAACAAAAAGCAAGAGTTTTCTATAAATTTTACATATCTGCAAGATAAAGGAATCCAACCAAAGTTGGCTATCTATACTTTCTAATACAATATTGATAATTTCTTAGATATAATCGTACAAATATATATATAATATAATTTAATAATATATATATAATATATTATATATACAATATAATCTAATATATTATATATATATATATATATAATGAATATACGATATGTACATCATCAGCATCCTTTCAATATGTTTGACAATTTTATAAATACATACCAAGAAACATAATTTTGGCCAGTTATAGATGAAATATCTATAGGTATAAATAGAATATGGTTCACTCAAGTCTTTTTGTATTAATTTCATAATATCAGGCATTTGCAGTTCACTTGTATAACTAACATATTGAATATTATTATCCCTACTTTCCAATGATAATGTTTCTGCTAAGCAAGTACAATTAGTAGTTGACATTCATAAACAATAATTGGTTGTTAAAAATTAAACATTAATTTCACATACCATGTTGTTTTAAATGCCTAGTTTCCATAGATTCAGGTTTTAGAAGATTACCTATGCCAGTGATTCTTTCAGAATTACAAATACCATTAACTAAAGATATTCCATTTCTATGTGATTCTCCATACATTTCGGTTGTCTTCAAACTAAGTCGAGATGTAATGTCTAAACTAGCAATATCTGTCAAAGAATTTTCATTCTTTTTTTCAATACTACTTTGTTCACCTTCAGATTCATTTCCATCTATAACATTGTCCATTTTAACCTTTTCCATCTTCAATTTTTTCGATATTTCTATTTTCTAAATATCTAAATTTCTTTTCTTAAAATACACAATTTCAATAAAGAATTTCAAAGGTGAATTTCTATCTTTCTAAAGAATATATTTTTGCGGTGTTGATGTTTTTAAATGTCACACCAATTTTTTAATCGAGTTTTCATAATTACAATAAGTTATACGATTTCTCTTTGCTTTTGGTATTATTTTCAAATATAAAACTTTTATGTAGTTCTTCAACCAACAGACACCATATTGAATTTCTGCAATAACCGATAATAAGACAAACATAAACAATGTGAAAATAGCTATCATATCGCATAACACCATTGCTATGTCATTTTCATTTTTAATTACAAAGTATAAAATGCACTTACATATTATATTTACATATTTTATTGATTTTATTTTATTTTCTTTAAATGTATGTTCGTAACAATTTTATATCAATTTTATATCAACACGAAGTTCATATCAACATGAATAAAATTTTATCGATTGTAAATAAATGCAGAACAGATTGCAAAAATAGTATAATTAAAAATAATAGAATAATTAACAATCTTTTCCTTTTTTTTTTTTATTTGTTCATGTGTATTCCGTTCTGTGTTGTAAGAGGGCACTTGTGTTGTTTGACTAGACCGGAAGTGAATAGAAGTTCTAAGGTTCAGAAAGGTTTAAGACTCTTTCCGGTCAAACCACGATGGGTAAGTTCTTTACTTTGAGATGAATTTCATTTTTATCGTTCTGAATCGGTATTTTTATCATTAAAATTATTATTATATATCATTAACTATCAATTATTTGTAAAAACACCAATTGGTTTTATTTAAATGCATATTTTTTAAGTATAATTTAACGACTTAAAAGTTTATATATAGATGGTTTTAACATTTCCAATATTTTAGTGAATTTTTCTTTATAATCTATTTTATTTTCACGTAATTTTATATATATATATAATGATTTTCTTTCACTAATTCTTAATTCATTATTTTTTTCAAATATAAATTTAATGTTTTTCATTGTCAAAGTCGAAAGCGTGTTAATGATACATGCAAAGTTTCTTTATTCATTTTATTATACATAAGAATATTTCTCTGTCAGGTATCTCTCGTGATCATTGGCATAAGAGGCGAGCAACTGGTGGTAAAAGAAAACCAATCCGTAAAAAAAGAAAATTTGAATTAGGGCGTCCAGCTGCAAACACAAAACTTGGAACTCAACGCATTCATACGGTATTATACAATTTCTATTATAAGCAAATGATTTATAATCTATTAGAAATGAAGTGTAATAAATCTACTGATTCTATTATAAAAAGTATAAAATTGTTTTTGTGTAAAAATGTACAATTTTTTTTCTTATAATAATACGACAATATTTGACGTTAATGCGGTTAATCGCCGCATCACTCATATCTGTATTATCTTATTTTTAAATGTATTTTTAAATGAAGTAGTTTTTTTAAGTGAAGAAGAAGTATTTTTAAGTGAATTATTTTTAAATCGACCAAATTAAATAATCAAGTAATGTAATAATAATAATATAGTAAGTTAAATTATTTTGGAAAAGTTATAATTACTTTGTTTACATGAAAATACATAATACTGCAATAGTTATTTATGATATATTGGAAATCATTTTAAACAAAATTAACTGAGATTTAGTTGTAAATTGTCTAAATGGTCTATACTTGAGAGGTGTAAAAACTTTTAATTTGACATGGTTAACAAAAAAAAAAGTATAAAAACAACAGGATGCCTAAAGAGTAAGCCTAGATTGTTAAATTCACAAGAAATCTATTAGATTTAGATACAGCGATGAACATACTAACATGATGACTATCTTTACCTACTCTGAATATTATGCTGACTTGCATCCCACAGCGTACTGAATGAAATTATTTATATTATATTATTAAATTATTACTAAATATTTATAATCATTCATATTCATATGTAAAATAGGTACGTACAAGAGGTGGTAATAAGAAGTACAGAGCTCTTCGCTTGGATACAGGCAATTTTTCATGGGGCTCAGAATGTACCACGAGGAAGACACGAATTATTGATGTAGTGTATAATGCATCAAACAATGAGTTAGTGAGAACCAAAACTCTTGTAAAAAATGCAATTGTTACCATTGATGCAACGCCTTTCAGACAATGGTATGAAGGCCATTATGTTTTACCATTGGGTCGCAAACGAGGTGCCAAATTGGTAAGTGAATAAACATTTCATTTCTCTATGTTATTAAATATATAATTAAATAAATTAATAAATTGGTAAATACTTAAAATAGACTGAAGCTGAAGAAGAAGTCTTGAATAAAAAACGGTCAAAAAAAGCAGAAACTAAATATAAAGCAAGACAAAGATTTGCCAAAGTTGAACCAGCTTTGGAAGAACAATTTGCTACAGGACGAGTTCTTGGTAAGCAAGATAATTCTTTATTATATAAATTAATTTTCATATTGCACGTATTGCAATTTTGGATTGAATTTTGTTTTAAGATACATTAAATTTATGATCTATTTTATTAGATAATTTTTTACTTTAATTTTAAATTATGTTTATAAAATTTATGCATATTATATAATATATTTGGACACTATATTGGTTTTGAAGTAGGTCAAAATTTTTTAGCAACATTTTTTTTCATAGCTTTATTCAAACGAATATCAATTCATTCTGTGAATTGAGCTTCTAATAATATATATGTACATGTTAAAATAAATCAAACTTTATATATAATATTCTTAACTTTACTACTACTAATATTCTAAATTATACAATATATCAACAGTTTTATATAGGATATAATTTTAATATTTTATAAAGCATTTTTAAGCATACATTCTTCTTTACATATTTCTCTTATGTTTTTTTTTTTGTATTATATCATTAGATTATAGATATACTTATTTACTGTACTGTTCATAAAATTATTTTGTGTCACTAAAAACAACAAAACATTTGTCATGATTATTGATTTACCGAGTATATAAAAATGTTTTACACACTTAGATTTAGGACAAAAAAATTAAAATTGATAATCTTGATATATGATTTTGTATATAAACCACTTTGTTAGTGAAAGTGTGTAACATGTATTCTTTTTATTTTTTTTACCTTTCACATGATGAAAATTAAAATATCTTGAATTAGCCAGTTTTCAACAGAAGCACTTTTATAAAAATTAATAAAATATATCAGTTCTTATCTTTTATAAAAAGTAATAAAATATATCAGTTAGCGTATAAAATATATATTGTTTGATTTAAAAAAATTAAGAACATCTTAAAATCTTTAAGATGGTACATAGTGGACCAAATTGTGCAAAATTAGTTACATAATTGTACTTCATAAAAAATATTTTAGACTACGTGTATAGTATAAATAAATGCGCACTCTGTGCATTATAAATTGTACATCCTTTTTATTTCATAATATATGTTATAACATGTTACATAATATTAAAATAAAAATTGCTGTATATTTTTATATAAATTGTACATTTGATTTTAATCATCACATTTTGATTTCAGCTTGTATATCTAGCAGACCTGGACAGTGCGGACGAGCAGATGGTTATATGCTCGAAGGAAAAGAACTTGAATTTTATATGAGAAAAATTAAAAGCAAAAAAGCTAAATAAATATGTAAGATAAAAAATAAAATAAAATGATCTTGACAAAAAAAAATTGATTATAACTTTACAAGTAACAATAAATATCCAGTATTTTAAAGTATGTGGTTTGCAAATATTCCAAACAATAAAATAGTTGTAGTAAATCAATTGTAAAATAATTATAAATTTAACACAGTATTTAAGTAAATATTTAAATATTTAACACAGATAACGCAAACTTTTTACAAGCTATTGTTAGTTATAAAAAAATTTTTGATGTTTTTCTACAACAGTTCCAAAATTAATATTTTAATTTAATGATAATTAATAATAACCTAGATTCTTATGTTGTATATTCCTATGTGCTTAAAATTGCTATTTATTTTGTTGATTTTACGAGGCAATATTACAAAATATACAGTGGTGGATTCGCATTAAATGAAAAATTACTCACATTTAAAGTTCGTGAAATAAAATACAATAGTCTAATTGATTTTATTTTAAAACGAGAAGTCTCTACTACATCAATCTTGAATTCTTTTTTCCCAAGATGTTTCTAATCGTATAGCAAATGGAGAAACAAAGATATTTTCGTTGTCCAAAACTATAAAAATTTAAACACTTCTAGAATCACTGAAGAATTTTTTTTCTAACTAAACTAGATCTACTATAATTTCGAAGATCGACGTTCCTTCACATCAATCCCTTGAAACTTATTATACAATTTCGACATTTTATTGAATCTTGAACGTTGGAGTTAAATGAAATTCAAGAAATTCTAATATTCTGCCATTTAATCATAATGTTCAAAGTTCAATAAAACAGTGAGAAAAAGTTTTAAAAGATCGTTGAAAAAAAAGACTTCAATCTTCAAGATTACTGTAGATTCAGTTGTAAAAAAAGTTTGTTTACATTTTCAGGAGCATCCGAGTTTTTACAATTTTTGAAGACAAAAGTATTCTTGCTTCCTCACAAGATTGAAAAATATTTTTGAAAAAAGTAACGTAAGGCTGTCAAAGTGAACTTTATATTTGTAATGATACCAACTGGATTATTGTACGATTTTTTATAAACTTATAACAGTTTAAAATTTAGATCAAATATGCGAATACTTTCATCCATTTCTGTATGGGAGAAATACGCTTGATTCTAAATATCAAAACATATAATGATGAGAAAAGTTCATAAAAATGTTGTTTGAAATTTATTTTTCAAGCTATAAATGATAGTACTTAATGGTAATGTCATAATATCTCAAAATCAATATCTCTACCTTGCATTTAAGGACTTATTTACTAAGGACGTATTTACTTGCACTTAAATATGAATACATATATGTATATGTATACATAGGTATTTTCATTTCAATATTGAATATTTTTAATTCCAATATTTAATCAATATAGAATAAAGAAGAAAGAAAGAAAGTATCGAATAAGACAAATACTGGTATGACAATTCATAATATAGTAACATCTTCTAGTAAGTTGCATGTTATATACAGCCCATTCAAAAACTTTAGTTTGTACATGCGTATGTTTAAAGAAAACTTATTATACTTATTAATTTAAATAAATAATTAAATATTTTATTATTTAATAAATCATCTAAGAATATTCGTTTATGATCATGAGTTATTATATTAAGTATAATATGATATGATCATGAGTTATTATATTAAGTATAATATATGTACATTTTATGAATCAGTAATGATATTTATTTTATGTCAGAGTTTATTTTTCTTTCATATTATTTTTAAATCAGATACTGAAAAATGACCAGTCATTGAATTTACAGAATTAATTATTTAAAAGATATAAATATCGATAAGAAAAAATTTAAAAATGACAAATAGTTCAATATTACATTATCTTAAATATAAAAATATTCTTCCCAGACAATTTAATCACAAAGAATGTAATGAAATGAAACATAATTGCACATAAATAACTTGGCTATATGTACATATTTTTTTACAAAAGTGGATGGGCACTTTTTATATTTTCTTTAAATGCACAGTAAGAAAACGAACAATTACAGTTTTCCATATGTAACATTAATTTCCAATACATAAAATTATTTATACCATATACTATATATAACATTTTCATTTATTTCAATTCTTTATACAGAACAAATATAAATAATTCTTCATATTCATGTAAAATGAAATACAAATACATATTATTTACTTCATTTCATTTTCTTCTTTTTTACATATTTTTAATACATGATATTAAATGTTTTTCCTTCATTTTTCTTGTATATTAAAAGTTTCTATCTATATTAAAATATACATATACTTTTTGATACAGACAGAAATTTTTATACATATATATTTATTTATTTATATTTCATGTGTATATATATAAATTTATATTATATACTATATGTATATTCATATATTTTATATAAATACATATATATATACACACACACATATACTATGACGAATTTCCATCACCTTCAGTGTCAGAAAAACACAAAGTTAGTGATGCTGAAATCTCATTTAGTTTATTATGAGGCAATTCATATGTCCTATTAGTAAGCCTATTTATTTTAATATTATGATTCTGAAAAATATAGAGGAATTTGTTTGAAACTTAGAGAAATGAAGGTAGTGAAGCTATGAAGGGGCCAAAGAAGACATATTCAGTGTAAGTTAATACATTAACTAAATGTTCAATTAAAATATCAATATTAATTTCCATTAATATCAATATTAATTAAAATATAAAATGCTCAACAAATATATACTAAATTATTTTTAATTAATATATAAAAGTAAAATTGGTTATTTTTATGTAAAATAATTATTGGAGCAAATATTACTCCTTAAATATATGTTCTTTATTTTAAATTATTTGTATTTTTACATTACAAAAAATTTATGTCTAAAATACTAGTTTGTTTTATGTAATGTCATATTAATAACATTTACATATAAATATAAATTACGAAAAGTTACGTAATAAAAAATACAACCATATTGCTAAAGCTTAAAGAATAAGTATATACAGGGTGTTCCTGTGTCGATAGTACAAGAGAAATAGAAGTGATTCTAATGAAAAAATAAAGAATAAAATTTTTTCGTTTGAGGCTTTGCTTTCGAATAAATCAGCTTTGAATATTTTCTGAGTACGCGTGTACTTAACGTCGGATTATACAAATGTCTGTATGTTGGTAGTATAAGCGAAGAGAGGATGATTCTGCATGAAAAAATAAGTTGAAAATCATTTTTAAACTCATTCTAAGTAAACAAGTATTAATAACTAATCAATATTACAAATGATATTAATGCTGTTTGTAAATAACGTATCATCTTCATCAAGATTCATTCATATATCACATGTCATTCATGTATCGTATCAATTCGTTGTTAACTGCACGTGTACTCGAAAAATATTCAAAACCGATTTACTCGAAAACGAAGCCTCAAACGAAAAAATTTTATTCTTTATTTTCAACTTATTTTTTCATATAGAATCATCTCCTTTTCACTTGTACTACCGACGCAGAGATACCCTGTATAACTTATTAAACTTGTGGCTTTGATTTCAGAGACTTACACTAATCTGTACTCTAGGCCCTCCACATATTTGATGTCACATGCTTTGTATTTATCATAAGTCTGGGCATCACCTGCTGTTGATTTGAATTTGAAGAACTAGTAATAATAGTAGCGAATGAAGGCTTTTGAGCGCATGTCCTCATATGCATTGGCCAATGTGATTGTTGGCAAGGATAATCACAATATGCAGTGTTCCAACAACAGTAAAATAATGCTTCTCTACCACACATTGCACACCATTGTTTACGTTTGATTTCTTCAATACATCGTAACTTCTCTTTTTCAGCTTCTCTACGAGTTTCCTCAACAGCACGTAATCGTTCAGCTTCTAAGCTTGCTTTCATTTCTCGTAATATCCTATCTATAATAAAAATAATATTCATAAAATGTGCATGTAATTCTTATTTATAAGCAAGCATAATAAAATGTAAAATAAGATGACATACAAAGTCGTACATACCAGTATTGTGTTTTAATTCTGCTAACTGTTGTTGATGTTGCCATCTCATCCGTTCTATTTGTAATTTTAAAAAATGTACTGTAGCTTGGTGATTTTCAGACACAGTGTGGCTCTCGCAATTTCTATTTTCTTGAACTGCCTCCTTATATGCTTCTTCCATTAATTTAGCCATTTTTCTAGTTAAATTTTGAGCATCGTGATATAAACGAGCACTAATAGGGCCTGCTTCTGGTGGTAACATTTGATACTCAATACAATTTTCAGTCTGATGAGTAGATGTATGAACAATAGTTTCCACGGGACTAGATATATTTGTCGATGAACGAGGAACGAGTTGTGGGTAATTACGAATCTTATTAGGAAATGATTTTCTAGCTTTACTTTCCTTTATTTCTTGATCCTTTGTTCTTGACGAGTCTTTAGAAGTTTGTTGAACTTGGACTGAAGTATCACTTTTTTTTTCCTCTTCAATAGTTTTCTCAATACTTTTTTTTGCATTAGACATATCATCATTTACGAAAAGCAATGCAATAGATTTATCTGCAGCATTTTTCCTATGAGTGTCAATATCACCAATATCAGCATTAACTGATGTTTTGTTAGTTAATACCGAAATGGATGATGCTGTTAAATTACTGTTATTATCATTTTTAGAACCATTTTTTAATGTAGTCGAATTATTTTGCTGTTTAATCGATATCATATTCTGATTTCGTTCTGTTGTGGAAAATTTTAAAGCTTTCTCAGCATTCATTTTATCAACTATTCTAGTCTTTGGTTTATAAATTTTTTCTATATTTTCATTATTTTTAAAATTATTCTTTTGGCCGACGCCTCCTTTACTAATATTCATTTTAAAGAGAAGTTCTTGTTTGGATATGTGAATATCTTTTGCCATATACTTTTTTGAAGATGCTACTTGTTGGAATGAATTCTCCAAAGATTTTGCATTATTGTTCGTTGCATTTTCAAAATTATTACCTTGTTTCAGCATTACAAAATTTGATTCTTTTGTGTCATATTTCATTGCTTTACTGTTTTCATCACTTATATTAGTATTAGTTTTACTTGTACTTGGCTTGCTTATATCTTCTTTTATCTCCTGCTCCAAATTTGCTGATAAATTTTTATCTGGTTGTATATCTTCTTTAACTACTTTTTTTATTAATTTACTTAAACTGTTGCTTGTAATTGTAACTGATTCGGTTTCATGAAACTGGTCAGGTTCTTGTTCTACTTTAGACGATTTATTTTCAATTTTGTTTCCTTTGTTAGTTGAATTAAATTTAATTGACATTTTATTCCCAATATCGGAACTGTTTACTTTTTCCGAATCTATTTGAAGATTAGTTTTAACGTGCATCCGCTTTTTAACAAACGGTGTCTTTTTAGGAGTCAAAGATTGTGAAGATGTATAATTATTAGAATGAAGAGGATCATAATTGGGTAACATTAATTTTATTTGCATTGGGTCATGAGGATTGTATTGCACTCTTGGAGGTGCAAATTTAAATTGACCAAATACAAGCTCTAGTTTTCGACAGTGACGAGTAATTTCGTTAACACATTCTTCCATATCTAATTTTCTCTTTCTTGGTAATGGAACAGGTGGTTCTTCTGAATATAAATATAAATCTCGTGGAGAAACCCATGCTCGATCGTGTTCACCGAAAAATCGCACATCGATAAAACCTTGAGAATTAATTCGAGGCATAGCTTTAGCAGGCCAAAATGGAAAACCTTTTAACTTTGCCCATACAAGTGGATGAGGATGACGACAGGGTTCAATAAACCATGCTGGATGTGGTCTTGGTAAATTTCTACCATGAGCATAACAATCAGGACAGGCTTCAATTTCTGATACCTCTTGACGTGCTAATTTAATAATCTGTTTTGCAGCATTCGTTAATTTAGATGTATCAGTATATACACCACCACCTGTATAATTTAAATAAAGCCTATTAATATTATTTTCCTAATTAATTTAATTTAATATTAATTTATATTTATTGCACACATACATGTATTAAACACAATACAGTTGTGTTGTATCCATTTGGCATCAGCCATGAAAGCATCTGTACTACCATATAATTTAGACTGAACATTTGATTCTAAAAGACTTAAATCCATTGGTTTGACTACATAATCTAAGTAATTTGGAGCTTCAGACAGTTCTACCGGTTTCCAAAATGGTTCTGACTATGACCAAAATACTTAAAGTCAATTTTACTAAAAGAAAACGATGCAAATTAATACAAATAAAAAATTAATACATACACCAGGATATTCTCTCATTCTCTCAACTACATGTTTCAGTAACAAACATAATTGATCAACAGATAACTGTGCCATAGCTGTAGAACGTGTTTCTGCATTTTCTGCTTGCAAAATAGCTGCACATTCTCCACATATCCAATTTTGAATAATTGATTGTTGCATTCCTATACATTTCCGATGCCATGATCTAGGACAAGCACTACAATGTGCTTCTACAGATTCTTTGTGACATCGCCAACAAAATTTATCATTTACATTTCTTTTTTTTCGTTTATTTTTTGAATTACTTTCATCTAGGGCTATATCTGTTTCTTGTGTACTAAAAAATAAACTTGAGTTCTTAATTCATTATTTTATGGAACATTATAATTTCAGTGTTCAAAATCTTAACTTTTTAAACTAGGCTGATTTACAAATAAAATGAAATTAAAAAGTTTAACTGTAAAAGTAAATACTGTCTATACTTACCTAATATTTCGTCTTGTCCTCTTTAAATTAGCTCCATTTTTAGATGTACTTTCTTTTACATTTTCATTTTTATTTGTCTTAAGTTCATTGTCAGAAACTGAAGAAATTGCATCCAACTTTTCTACATTCTGTCTATGTTCTATTTTATTCATATTACATTTTACTTTTTTAATATTTTCTACAATAATCATCTCATTTTTATTTTTTTTCTCATCAGAATTTGTAATATGTTGTGCATCTTTATTGCCTTTTATATCTGTAGTGACAACTTTATTTGTTTCATTGTTAACAATATCAATGAGATTTTGCCCTTTTTGAATATTTGTTAATTGCAAATTTTTCTTTTGTGATTCAGCTGAATTTTGTAGATGCAAAGAACTTACAGAATCTTTCCGTGCCTCTATTGATGTCATTTTGACTTATAGGCATTTAACTGAACACATGTTTACTTAAACAATATTGAAAACAATAATTAATAATCTTTATAGATATGAAAGATTATTTATATATTTAAAGAGGAAATTCTTCTTTTCGTGATATAGATTTAGAAATAATTCTATGTATCATAATTAAATAATAAAATAATAGTTATAATAAAATACAATATGTAACATTAAAGAATTATTATAGAAAAGTAAAATATAATATTTCGTAAATATGAGTTAGAAATGTTTATGGAAGAAAATAAAAAATTCTAAGGAATAGAATAAGAGATAAACATAAAAATAAGCTTCAATAATGAAAAATATTTACCAATATCCTGTTTTGTGTTCGCTCATCTTTTAACTGCCAAATTAACAGATCGTCAACATCTCTTTGTTTATTTATTTCTATAATATTTATGTAGTAATAAATGAAGTATTTAAATTAAGTTAGAACATTTACAATAAATAAATAAAAATAATTAATATCGCTCCAATAATATTATTGTATTGCATCGATTAACAGCAATATGATAGAATATAATATGTAATATAATAATAAGATAAACATAGGGGATTTTTAAATATATCCACTACTATACATGCAAATAGACAAAACGATTACCATAGAATTCACACATGAATACAGGAATAAAATTAACAAGGATATCTTCAATGATTCTTAGAACTTTTGAAACATAGCCAATAAGTCAACTAAATCACTTTCAAATCCCAAACAACAAAAATAAGCGAAATATATCACTTACAAACACGACATTGCATCAAAAGCGTGAACATTCTTTACTCCCTCCAATGTACTAGACTCCTCACCAACTAGTGTCTCCATCCTTCGATTATGTTTGTAATTAAATGTAAAAAAACCATATTCTACAGGTTACAGACACAAACGAGATATATGGATAGACATTGCATCTTATGGACTTTCGTGGCCCGTGACCTGAAATACCGACATACTAAAAAATCATTGGTTTTTTAGCGAACTCTACATTTAAACGAGTGAGTTGGGGAACTAGTGAATTCACCAGTAACGTGATTTTTGAAACCCATTACAGTATTGTCAAACTTTCAACCGAAATGTGAAGTAATCGAAATTATTTTATTATATATTAGAAAAAGTTCTGTTCATGTTTTACGGATCACAACTTTTTTCAATATAAAGTAAATTAAAATTTTAGAACCATTAATATATGGTTTTATGTATAAATGATTTATGTTGTATTAAACATTCTTAAAAACAAATTTTAACTAACTAAATTTTCAACTATTTTAAATTATTATTAATATTAAAATATTAAAATTATTATATTTCCTCATTTACTTATATTATATATTTAAATTTATGTTAAATTTTTTACAATTTTATTATAATTATGCAGTGCATTGGCTGTGACAAATAACATAAATTCTACAATTCATTAATTAAAAATTGCTCAATTAAAATATTATTCGAAATTTTCCTATAAACTATTTTGCCTTTTAATATTATGATAATAACAAAATTTTGTTATTTATTTAATATAAATCTTTAATATTTCATAGATTTAATGAAAAATATAAACTTATATATCGTTATATATCTCGCAAAATCGACTAAAGAAATGTTTTTACAAATTTCGTACAAAGGAACACATTATGTGATGCAAATTATATTTTTACAGATCGAGTGATGGGGGAAATTTTAAGATCAAATAAAATGGAACTTTATATCTTTCTTCATGACATTTGTTGAGATGAACTCAACGACTCACAATGTGATGTGATATGATATGATGTCATTTATTATTGAAAAATATCTAAAATTGCATTATAAATTACTGCACAAGGGACGCTATGTTATAAATTAGTTAACTAAGTCTGAATCTGAATTGTTTGACGGGTAATATTTATAATAGAATGATAATAAACTGAGATCCAAATTCTTGAAGTTGAAATTCACAAGCGAAATAAAAACCACTAATTGCTAACTATTTTACAATTTCAATGATTTTTAGTAGAATAAAATAAAATTAAAATAATATTCAATAACTTCGATATAAAAATATTGTGTGTAGGCTCTTTTCGTCGCGTTTATATATCTTTTTTTGATTGATCAAATTTTAGATTCATAGCAGAAGAAATGATCTACTTATAATATTGTATGCTTTTTAAATTAATTGCATGAAGATTCTTACTGTGTAAATTGTTTTACTTATAAAGATGCTACTTTATATGATCTAACTTGACAATTAAAATAAAGAAAAAAAATACATACATAACATATTTTAAATTTAAAATTATAAGAACAGGATTTTTAATAAATAATTATTTTTAATTGTTTTTAATTAGCATCTTCAATAGTATATTAACCTTAACATTTATCATTAGTAACTTTGTATGTAAAATTGTTTTTAAATGCAATATTTATATTTCTATCATGAAAATTTATCTCGTCTGTGGTACTGAATTTTGAAAAATCATGTTTCTGGCGCATTTACTACTTGATTATTTTCGATCGTTTTACTTAATGTAGTTCACCATTATTTAAACATAGAGTACATAGAGCGCATTCACTACTTGACTATTTTCGATCGTTTTACTTGATGTAGTTATTGTTTAAGCATAGCATAAAAACCGATGTTCTGAAATGATGTTTTGTCTATTCTTATACCTCATCTGTACTACGATCATGTGACACAAAAATGCATTGGGTGTCTTGTCTTTCCTATACCTCGTCTGTGGTATATACATGCTGAAGAAAGGAAAATTTATTGAATTTACTGAAATTTAATGGCATGAAATATAAAAAAAACAAAAGTGTAATGATTAATAGTACATTTTTTCGAATGTACGCTGAAATATCAGCGTATAAAATATAAACAGAAGTTTTGTTTTTACAGAACTCGAGAAATTGACAAAATTTTTCTAAATTTATTTATAATTATAAGTGTTTGCAATTATAAGTGAAAAAGTAAAATTTTTCAGTAATGATTATATAGATACAATAACGTTAGGTTATGTAGATTATCAACATCACTTATATTTATTTCTGTTCATAATTAACATTAATAATCTCGACTCGAAACGTATAATGGAACTTGGTGACCTGATACTAATTCCAAAACTTGATAATGTTATACTAGTAGATAAAAGTGATGGAAATGGTAAAAGCATAGATGGAAGACTATGCATTAGTAGTCACCATCTTCTTTGGTCTTCGCGGCAAGACAATGGTCAAGAGCTTTGGGTATAATCTAATGATGAAAATTATTGTAGTATTATTTGTTAAGTCAATTCATGTTGTATATTTTTTCAATGTTTTTCAGTTATTATATAGAAGTATTGACTTGATAGAGAAGAAATTAAATGCCCAGAGTCCTGGTGGTAGCATTATATTAAAATGTAAAAATTTTCATATTCTTCAATTAGATATCAATTCAACAGATGATTTAACAAATGTTGCACTCTCTATAGAAATGTTAACTTCACAAGGTAAAATATATAATATTATTTTGATTTTTATAAAAATGTATTCATATATATTTTGTGATAATTCTTATTTTTTTCTTTATTGCAGAGCAAACTTTACAGTATCCTTTTTTTAATAGACCACAAGCTACTAATAACAGTATTATACAAATGGAAGATGGATGGACTGCATTTGCTCCGGTATCAGAATGGTCCAGATTGTTAACTGCTTATGCAGATGAATGGCGTATAAGTTATTTAAATAAAGACTATAAAGTTTGCAATTCTTATCCTTCTGCTGTTATAGTACCACGTCAGATAGAAGATAAAATTATAATATCATCTGCCAATTTTAGAGATGGTGGACGATTTCCAGTTTTATGTTATAGACACGAAGGAGGGGTATGTAATATTATATTATGTAGTAAGTGTTATATAATAGTTAAATAAATATACGTGATTGATATTTGGCATATAACTAATCAATGTTATAGAGTATCTTGTTAAGAAGTAGTCAACCAATGTGCAGCACAAATAATAAGAGATGCAAGGAAGATGAAAGATTATTAAATGCAGTATTAGGGCCAGGAAGACGTGGGTAAATATTATATGTATTAAAAATTTTCATAAATTTGCATATATTATTATTTATTAACAAAAAAATCATAATACAGGAATTGCAAGTGTGGATTTCCTTACCAATTTTAATGAGCTTGAGGTATATTATTAGGAACATGACTCTGTTAACTTTGACTCTATAACTGCCACTCAACTTTAGTTTTTATTAAATAGCCACAAAAATATTTTTGATACTTTTTGGTTAGATTTTAGCTTTTAGTTAAGTTTGAGTTAAGTTTTAATTGTGTTCTTTTCCTTTTTTTATTTCTTGGATCTTATTGGCAACTTCTTTCATTAAGAATTATTTGCTTCTTTGAATCTTTTCAAAACATCCACAATGTTGTTGGTCTGGCTGGTTTTCACCAGTCAGGAATTTATCTAGCTCAAACCAATGCTCAAACTCAGTTATTGTAAATTTTAATTTTTATTTTTTATTTCTTCTTTATTAGATTGAAGTATAATCTAAACCTAACTTCAACATAATTTTAATTTATGTCAAAGCTTCAAAAAATACATAATATTAAAATACAATTATGAATATTTCCAAAACTAAAGTCGAGCAGTGATTACATGTGTAGGGAAAAAACAACATATTTTGCTTAAACAATATATTTTGAGTTCATTGAGATATCAGTGAGAAAGTCCACATTCACAATAATTAATGGGATTTTAAACTATGACTTTATATTTAATATCAATTATTGTGTTTAATAATAATAAAGTTATATTATTTTCATCTAATCAGTATAAATAATTACATAACATTTGTTAATATTATAGTTATATAATAGATACAAGATCTATTAGTCAAGCTCAAAGTTCTAGAGCTAAGGGTGGTGGCACAGAAATAGATGCTGCTTATCCACAGTGGCGGAAGGTACACAAAGCGGTTCCGCGACCCCATGAATTAGCAGATAGTTTTTTTAAATTGATAGAAGCTTGTAATGATATAACATGTTCTACTTCCCAATGGATCTCGAAACTTGATAACAGTGGGTGGTTATCTGCTATACAAAGTGCTTTAAATGCTGCTTGTGTAACTGCTCAATGTCTCCATCAAGAAGTTGCAGCTGTATTAGTTCATGGTATGTCATCAATAAAATGATCAAGAAAATACAAATATATCATCAAGTAAAAATATTGCTATTCTTTGAACAGGTAGTGCTGGTAGAGATTCTACTTTAGTGGTAACCAGTTTAGCACAAGCAATATTAAATCCTGACTGTAGAACAGTACGTGGTCTCCAAGCTTTAATCGAACGTGAATGGATACAAGCTGGTCATCAATTTTTTAGTCGTACACGTTATGGGCCATATCATCCATCAAATTCGCAAAGTTCAACGCATGCCCCGACTTTTCTTCTTTTTCTTGACTGTCTTTACCAACTTCATTATCAATTTCAATTTAGTTTTGAATATACAGTAGAATTATTGATTGAATTGTACAATCATGCATATTTTTCTAATTATGGAACATTTTTGGGTATTTATACATAATACTACTATATTTATTTTAGTATTTAATTTCAATATTTAAAATATTTATATATAATACTTTCAGGTGATTCAGAAGCAGAGAGAGTTAAACTTCGATTATCTGAACGAACGTGTAGTTTATGGTCATATATAAATCAACCAGAAATGTTGGAAAAATGGTTGAATCCTTTATATGAGCCAAATTCAGGAGTTATTTGGCCTAGCGTTGCACCTATTAGTATTCAATTATGGAAAGAACTTTATCTTGGTCATACAAGCGTTGCTCCATGGAAAAGTTTATTGTCATGGATAAAACAAATAAAACAAAACTATATGGCAGTACGAAAAATTGCC